TAAAAGCTAGAGGCCCAAGGATTTTTAGGGACTGATTTAGTAACAATGTCTACTGGCACGAACCTTTTCTTTATTCATATTTTTAAAAATGCAATAAAAGAAATGAAAGCTACTTTAATGAAAAAGGAACTCAGGAATGAGGTCATTAAATATAACTAGCTACATTTGAAATACAAATACCAGGTATTTCCTGATTAGTGTCAGGTAAATATCTAAACTATCTAACCCAAATTCTGGTTTCAGGGAAAAAGATCAGAGACAAGTACAAAGAAGGTGCTTCATACTATCAGATCCATTTTTAAAACAATGAGATCCTTTGGGACCATCACATTAGTCTTTCTTTTTATCGGAGATTTCTGTTGGTCCTCTTGTTGGTGATCCATTTATATCTGCACCCTAAAATGAAAAACCACTTTAGATATTATTACAACAAACAGACATACATTTTAAGACATATTCCCTTTAAAAACAGACAATAACTTCAGAATGAAAAAACTACTTCTAGAAATGTGCAGGATGGCTAAATTTGTGCAATTGAACACGAAGTTGTATTTAACAATCACCAACACTAAAGACAACAGAGTTGTCTAAATACTCATTTAAAAAAATAACTCCATTTTGTTAAAAAAAAAACCCTCTATGATCCTACCAATTAAATCTCTTATCAAAGTTATCAGTCAGTGAAACTTGGCTTATTTTAGAATCATCTCTTGTTATTTATTAACTATTTACCATTACTCTTACCACTCAGGAAATACTGGTTATTATCCTGGCCATAAAGCAAGAAGCAAATGTATCAATCAGAGGACTAGTTTAGAACCTTAGTTTAAAGCAAACGTAATTACAAATAAAAATCCAAAACCCCTGTTTTAAAAAAGAAGGGAATTTAGACACATTAATGAAGCTTCTGGTTGGAAGAACTTGCCTTTCCAAAAGCCAAGTATTTCATCCTGCATCCCCACGCCCCCTTATTCAAGGCATTTTAATGTTCTTACCTTACAGTCTATTTTGCCTTTGTTTTTATCACTGGATTCTTGTATAGCTTTCCTAGGCCACACACGACTAACAAAGGGGGAAATCAGAGGGTATATATATGGTTCCAGGAACTTTTTGTAGACCCAGAGCAGAACTGGAATGACAATGCAGGGAATGCACACCATTGTCCCAGGCTTGAGATCCTGAACTGCTGATAAACAAGAAGGAAGAACAAATTAGATCATCATAGATTAATGACTGAAGGAATTTACCTAGATTAAGATGTATGAAAAGACTATTTCTACACTGAAGGAAAAACTTAAATCACACTACAGGTATTAGCTTAAAGCAAGTCTATTAAATAAAAATGCTGCTATCTACAAGGTAAAAGAATAACAGGTGGCAGACCTGAAAATAATAGTGAGGTACCTGCCTCCAAACCTCTCCAATCACTGCTCCACAACCACAGATTTGATGATAAAGGAATGACACCATCATTCGCGGGGTGCTAGGCAGTTAAGCCCTTTACATGTATCAACTCATTTAATCTTCAAAACACCCAGTGAGGTTGGGTACCCTGGCATTTCCATTTACGGATAAAGAAAAGGAGGCACAAAAACATTAAGGAATTTGGTAATTTTGACATACGCCAGTTTAGTGTGAATTAACTCCCAGGGCCTAATCATCTCCAGGGACTGAACAATGCTAAGGGCAAATCTTGTAATATGGAACTCACTAAGATATCACTTTGGAAGACCTCTAGGCTGCATACTGGCTGGCCTTTCCCAGCCAACAACTCTCCCTTGACAGATGTGCTTTTTCTTTTTAATGGCAATAAAGGGGTATTGAGTAATAAAAGTTTTATTTAGTATTATTGGTATAAGTCAATTGTCCATTTCCAAAAATTAACACCTAAATTTCCTTGATAATTAGAAGTCAACTTGGAATTTCTCAAGATCAGCAATTTCTTGAAAAAGAGCCAATACTACTTCCATAACACACAATTAAACCGAAGACCTCTTAAATTTACAAGAATTTTTAATCCCTTAGCAAAGGCTTTAAAAACTAAGAAACTTCAGGGCTTCCCTGGTGGCACAGTGGTTGGGAGTCTGCCTGCCAATGCAGGGGACACGGGTTCGTGCCCCAGTCCGGGAAGATCCCACATGCCGCGGAGCGGCTAGGCCTGTGAGCCATGGCCGCTGAGCCTGCGCGTCCGGAGCCTGTGCTCTGCAACCGGAGAGGCCACAACAGTGAGAGGCCCGCGTACCGCAAAAAAAAAAAAACAAAAAACTAAGAAACTTCAGAACAGTGCATAAGGCTAATAATTCAGCATGTTAAACTTATTTTCAAAATATTGTAAGCTAAGTAGTATTTAGTGGTAAATGAGTAAGTACTGCTACGCTCAGGCAATTTAAAATGATTCACAAGTGAAGAGTGGTATACATAATCCAATCTCAATGTGGCTTTGAAATGAATTACAAGAGCTGTAAACAAATAAAAATGTAAATGTGTATCAGGGAATGACCAACTCTTTTATAAGGGATTCATAACTGGAGTCTTTAAAACAGTCCCCTAGACAAATTAAAATAATTTTAGAATTTGCCAAAATATTTTGTTCCAAAATTTTAAAGAATCAATCAAAATAAGCCAAACGAGCAAGAGTCTTTTTCAGCATTTTTCAAGAAATCATAATTTTTGGCTACTAGACATTTAGAATCTGATCTGAAAAGACTTCTTACTAGTTTAGGTACCATAGCATGATAATCAAACAGGATGGCTGGCAGCTGCCTGGATTTGAGCCCTACTTTCACCATTTTCTAGATAGCGTTCCTGGGCAAATTATTTAACCAGACGGTGCCTTAATTCTCCCATGCGTAAAAAGAGGACAATAATAGTACCGATCTCACAGGGATGTAGTGTGGATGAGATACATTAATAGGAATACAAAGCTCAGAACAGTGTCTGCATATATTAAGTACTACGTAAATGTTGCTACCATAAGAAAAAAAAAAACAAACAAATCCCAAACACATCCAAAAGTTGTAACCTGTCCAAAGTCCACACTGCAGGTAACAAGTAACTAGAACTGGCTAAAACCAGAATTCCTAATTCTGGTTTCCTAGCTCAGTGCTCTTGCATTTTCTCTCCCCCAAACACGATCATCATGTTATTCCCCTTTCTACCAAACTTTCAAACGCAACTAAAACCCTTCAAAACAACTGGCAATGCTACCGAGCACTAAGCTAATACGATGACAGGCAATCCCTCCATCATAAAGATTCAGGTTTTTACCTACTTGAAATTGTGCTTTAAATGAATTCTCAAGAACAATTAGTACTAATTACTTTTGTTACAATTATGGCTTAGAAAGGTCTAGAAGGTGACTATGATAAATTGATAAAATCATGATTTTATTTACTCTCTCCAAGCCAATTCTCGAATATACAACACAGCGAGAAAGATGGATTGAAACGTGGAGGAGAGGAATTTCTTGCATTCGACTTAGTCCAATACAATGGAACAGAAAAAGGCGGAGGCTCTATGAGAACAAGAGCAGCTGTGGCGGGGGTACGCCACTTCCTCTAAGTGACCAGTCGGCGGATCACTTCACTGGAGACAAAAGAGACCGGGAGAGGCTAAGTCAAAGGCAAGGACTGAAAGACAGGGGAGGGGAGGGTACGAGCGAATGGTGGCGACGACGATAAAAAAGTGATACCGACAAGGCAGGCCAGAGAGCGGATCCTGAAGCAAAGAGAGGCGGACGGAGGCAGGAAGGGGTGGAGACCGACGCAGGGGGAGGCACAGGGCAGGGGCGCTGGTGTACCTTGAGGGCAGGAGAACCCCGAAGCCCCGGCCGCTGCCCGGACCCACCCAGCCCCGCTCACCCGCGGCCACCAAGCCCCAGTGACGGTGTCCAGGCTTCCGGAGGGAGGCTCGCGGGGTGACGTGCCGCAGCCAACCCTAAGGGCACCGCAAGAGGGACCGACAAAGAAGCGCCTGCGTCAGCCTGATGACGCACCCGACGTAACGGTGACGCCCTGCGGGGACGGCACCGGCTTCCGGCGCGGCACCGGCTTCCGGCGTAGCCCCGGCGATCAGCTTAGAGCTTGCGGGCGAGGCGGAAGCGCTGTTGCTCCCCAGTTGCCCGGTCACTGGAACAAGATCTACGACGCGGACCCAGGAAAGGATAAGCGCCTGTACCGGTGACTCACCACCAACAGGGAAGCTTGCGGTGATGGCTAGGATGTTTTCGAACGCAGTTGAGGCTAAGCTACTCACCCTGCTACAAGGGTCTTAAATTCAAGAGCAGGGGAAATTAACATCGTCACATTTGAGCGGGTATTTTTACAAGAAATGGGCATACAACTTTCCTCCCACTAGGACAGCTATAATCGGCGAAATCTAAGCGATGAAGAAATTCGAACCACTGCTGGTCGCACTGTAAACGGAACTGCTTTAGGAGTCCTGCAGTTCCTCCAGTGTTCATTAAAATTACCTTATGACCCTGGAATTCCACTCTTGGTATACATGCAAGTGAAAGGAAAATATGCCCACACAGGAACTTTTATAGTTCACAGCAACACTAACAGTAGCTAAAAGAAAAAAAGCCCCAAATGATATGATGAACCACAGGTACATGCTACAACCCTGAAAAAATCATGCTAAGTCAAGCAAGTCAAAGCCAGTGAGGAAGGTCACACTGTGATTTCATTTATATGAATTGTCCAGAATAGGCAAATCTACAGTCAGAAATAGGCAAGTAGTCACCCAGCACTGGATTGGGGGGAGGTGACAGCCAACCACTACCAAGGTTCCTCTTTGGGATCATGAAAAACTCTAAAATTCACTGTGCTGACGGATGCATAAATGAATATACTAAATGCTACTGAAGACTGTACAGTGTGTTAAACCTCAATAAAGTGGGTGGAAAAGAGATTCAGAAATTTCCCCATGTTCTAATTCCATTTTACGCAAAGCACCAAAAGATGCAAAACAGCATGTTTTATGAAAACTCATTTGATCCATTTTGTGATGACACTTGAAACAGATTTACTAATTAAGACAACCAACACTCTGCTTTTACTTTCATTTGCATTTATTTTTTGCAGCATTTATTCCCGGGCCATAAGTTTTTGTTTCTTCAATTTCTTCTGGGATATCTGGGGAAAAGAAAAATGCACTATTAAGATTCCAGAAGATTGTATCTCAATGAAAGAGTAATTGGAAATTTCAACATAAAGGGAAAAACATGAAGAGTCCTTTGGCGTAGAGAAGTGGTATGGGGAGAAGGGCAGCCAGGAGGACATCACAGTAGTAAGCAGGAGATAACCAAGACGGCAGCCAGGGTGCCCAGCTGGTTAGAACTAAGTGGCAGCAAGGATGGAGGATAATATTTAATGATAAAATCAATAGAAGACAAATCCATTAGGTGGATCACACCATTAGGTGTGAAGAATCACTCCCAGGTTTCAAGCTTAAACATACTGAAAACAAGCTTATTGGGGGGCAGGGAGGAGAGCCCAGTTTTGGACATGTTGCATTTCAACTGGCTATGGACATCTAGGTGGGGACATAAGCAGATAATCACATGGTTTTAACATACTGAACAATACAAAGTTACTATTCACTGTTAATCAAGAAACTAATGAGACCCATGAAAGCCAAAATAAAATGGTTAGAAGAGGTTGCTGGTTGCTCAGAATAGTCTCCTTTCATGGTTATTCCAAAGGTGTCCTAAGTTAGTCATCACAGCAACCACAAATCTAACACACCAAATAAACAGAGCAGAGACTAAGTAATTGACCTTTTTCTTCTGGGCAACCTCCTCTTCTGGTTTAGGAACAATCTGTTCTTTTTCAGTAAGGATCATCTCAATGTGGCACGGAGAGCTCATGTATGGGTTGATCCGACCATGAGCTCTATAAGTCCTGCGCCGCATCTTGGGGGCTTTGTTCACCTGGATGTGCTCAATGACCAGAGAATCTACATCTAAGCCCTGGAACAAAATCAGGTAACATCTTTATCTTAATACCACAAACTGCATCATTCAAGTCCCTGCCTGAAAAAAAATATTTTGAAAGGCAATCCTTAGGACTTTAAATAGCGTATTTGTTCAAGCAGGTTTTTTTAACCTTTATTCTAAGTGTCCTTCCTTAAATCTAACTACCAAAACTCCGTGCTAAATGCACCAAGTTTGTAAGTGGCATTCATAAAGGAGTGGAGTTACAGGATCTGGTAGCATCTATGTCTATTTCTAAGCCTTGATGATAAACAGGATTTTGACAGCAAGGCTTAGCAGCTAGAAGGGCTACAGCTGAACAGACCCACATTAATTCCAGTTCTGACCCAATTTTCAAAATGCAAAAGGGTAATGGATAATTCCTCAAATGGATAAACCTGTTTTGTTGACACAGGTTTTGTTCAGTTAAACATAGTTCTTTTAACTTCTAACTGAAATTTAATGCCTCTCAACTATGAATGTAGGCAACAAACCACATTAATCATTACTACGGCAATCACAGTTCCTTTGGAATAGTACATATTTTATTATATTTTAAAATATCCTGTGAAGGGATTCACAAACCATAGTGTAAAAAAGGTCCATGGCACAAGAAAGTTTACAAACCCTTGGTAAAATACTCAAGGGAAAAAAAGCGTTTCTTTTGCATGTACTGGGATTATAGGGGGGGAAATTCTATAGACTTAAGCTTGAAGTAACTGCAGACCATGCCCCTGAAATGCTTTACAGACAAAAATTTTGGTCTGTTGGAAACTGGAGGTAGAGATTTAAGAGAATTCTTTTAATGGAGAATTTAGCTACTTGAGAAAGCAAGACAATCAAGGAAATAAATCTGGACAACAGCAACTTTAACTGAATAACAATCCAAGTTACATGTATAAAGATATTTATGGTTTGGGTACCTTAAGTTCAGCATTACTCTCTGCATTTTTGAGCATGTGCAGTAAAAATTCAGCACTCTTTTTGGGCCACCGACCCTGTGTCCAGCCCCACTGTTTGGCCTAAAAAACAAACAAAACCAGAGAGCCCATTCGTCACTTCCCCCAATTTAAATCAATGTTACAAGATGGGTTTATTTTAACCAACACCAAGGTTGCTCAGAAAATGTTTTTTTTCATGGTTAATCCAAAGGTGTCCTAAGATTGTCATCACAGCAACCAGAAAGAGCCTGATTAAAGGCAGATCATGGCCATTCTTACTCCCTCCAATCACCTTCTCTAACAGTTTGTCTTTTTAAATGACAACTATGAATTCTCACCTGGGCACACCTACCAACTCCACCATTGTAGCGACGGAATGGCACACACTGCTTCTTTAAAGTGACATCCTTCAGATACTTAGTGGCTTTTCGGATATGCATACCCTTAATGGCCTGGGCTGTTTCACGAGTGTTCTAAGTATAAATAATATAAGCTGTGAGTTAACCATGTATTTTTTTAAAAATCACAAATTTTAAACATTAAATTCTAACATTTTCGACACGTCAACATTTATCAACAGCCAAAACCTTTCCATTTATTAGGACGTGAGCTGATACAATGAAGAATAAAAATCTGTGATTATGAGCCGAGGGAGGTTTGGTTTGAAGGTGGAAACAAGTGAACCCTAAGCATGTTTACTCGCTTTAATACGTTCTCCATCATCTTATGAACTACAATTACGTGTCCCATATCTTGATATGCACACTAGGTTCTCAAGCAGTTCTCTGGTAGTTTTACCCAATTCCACAAATCCTAAATCAAAGTACTCATTATATACTGATGATCACGGACCAAAAGGTGGCTGCTCAAAATCGATTGATTTTCACGGTAAATCCAAAGGTGTCCTAAGAAATGCATCACCGCAGCTACCTTTTTAGAATGGCTAAAAAATACATACTAGAACTCGTGAAACAACTCTTTTAGAGCATAACTATGATTCACATACCTTAAAGTGAACACGAAGATTTGAACCTCTCGACTTGCATGCTAAAAAATACCAAAAAGAAAAGTTTGGGTTAATTCTGGGCATCTTGTTGCCTCTTACTCCAAAATAAAAAATGTTTCGTGTTCACTTACATTTTGTGGGATTTTCTGGGTCAAGTGAATAGCGAACCATTTTTAGAGGTCACCTGAAAACGAGCAAGTATAATTCTGTCAACATTATTTACAGTAACTTACACGGTTTATGTACTAAACGCTGCCCGCAGCTGCTCAGAGAGTAGTTGTTTTCATGATTAATCCAAAGGTGTCCTAAGAAATGCCATCATCGCAGCCATCCTTCTATCCACCGTTTCTTCCCGTGTGGAACTACCAGTGACTACAGCAGTGCTGACACTAGACTAGTGACAAGGACATCATTCCTTTTACCCTCTGGAAGAAAACACAGCCTGTTTCAATCCAAGCCTGGATCCTTCAGACGAGTTAACTCGACCCACTACAACCCTCTACAGGCTCCCCCTACAGAAACCTCCTTTACTCACGCCAACTTCACACGTAATCCAGTCTTTTTCCCACACTTTCAATTACCCGCTTTAAGCGCCGCTGAACTCGAAACATTTAACGTTCAGCCACTAAATAAAAGCCTCGACCCTACTTGACTTTACCCCGCCCCCCCAAATTTCTCTCGATGCGGCCACAAATGCGCTGCGTTAGCAGCCACCACTCAGCGCAAAAACACTGGGCCTCCGGTGTCGGGAACCACCACAGCCTGCCTGTACGCCCGGCCAACCCCCTTCCCAACCATCGCGCCCCGCTGAGGCCTAAGAGCACCGGGGCGCCAAGCGGGGTACTCCGACACGTCTCCCCGCACAGAACGCCGCTCCCAGAGAGAAATCAGTAGCCGCGAGAGTCCTCCTCCCGAGGGTCTCGAAATTGGCACCGCCAAGGCCAGGATGGCAGCGATAACCAGAGGATTCCCCACTCGGAAGACTCGCCAAAGAAACACTTACCTCAGGCCGCTGACCGGAAAAGGAAGAGCGGTGGTTCATGGGAGAATTCATGAGAACTCGACATCTCGCGAGACTCCCAGCCAAAGGAACGAGATTTGGAGAGGTGGGGGAGGGCGGAGGAGAAAGGGAGTGTGGAATATGTTTGACAAGATCTGGAAACGAATTACCCCTTTAGGGACCGTCTCAAAATTCTTCTTTTTTGCTTCCAGAAATAAAGTTATGGATTCTAAATATCAATCAATTAAAAACAGGTTTGTTCAGAAACAGAGTCAGAGACTTAGAGAACGAACTTATGGTTACCAGGGAGAAAGGTGCGGGGTGGGGGGGAAGGATAGTTAGGGAGTTTGGGATTGACATGTACACACTGCTCTATTTAAAATGGATAACCACGACTTCCCTGGTGGTACAGTGGTTAAGACTCCACGCTCCCAATGCCGGGGGCCCGGGTTCGATCCCTGGTTGGGGAGCTGGATCCCACATGCTTGCCACAACTAAGAAGTCCACATGCTGCAGTGAAGATCCCGCATGCCACAACTAAGACCCAGCTCAACCAAAATAAAATAAATATTGAAGAAAAAAAAGGGATAACCAACAAGGACCTACTTACTGTATAGCACAGGGGGCTCTGCTCAATATTATGTAGCAACCTAAATGGGAAAATAACTTGAAAAAAAATAGATACATGTATATATATAACTGAATCACTTTGCTATACACCTGAAACTAACACAATATTGTTAATCAGCTATATTCCAATATAAAATAAAAAGTTTTAAAGAAAAGGTTTGTAGTTCTAGGACAAGACCACCTATTATTAGGTATAGACAAGACATTTATTCGTCAACATTTGTTAGGTTTGGTTATGTGATTATATGAAAATGATTTGTAAAGGGACAATTAGGAAGATGCAAAGGATGGGATGTAATTATGCTAATCAGAAAATTCTCAGTTTAAGACCATCACCCAATCAATTGTAAAGCAACCCTTGTGAAGGATGTAATATCAGAAGGGTCTTGTTCAAGAATGGGGTCTGGTTTCCCCACTGCAACTTGTAGATCTTCATATGGGAAAGGATAACTGTTCCTTGAAAACAAAAACGCCAAGGGACATTTTCTTCCTCGCCAAGGTCATCTGTCTGGTTATTCCTTTACAGTCACTGGTGGTGTGACTGCTGTTAGATTTAGGTCTTCCTTTTACGGCCTCTGTGATTTTCCCAGAAAACTTAAATGAACTCTTTAAATTGTATTTGATATACATATATTTTCTTCAATCCGTTTTTCTTTATTTTAATTTTATTATATGTATTGTGCAGAAATTTTAATTATTAAAACAATAGTGTACTGCAGACAGGGGTAATCCTTAGCAATCAATTGATTTGTTCAGTCATCCATTCAGTGAATATTCATCAAACACTTATGTGCCTGCCGCTGTGCTAGATGCTATGCTCTAAGAGGTCCTAGGAGAGTCTCGGCCATCAAGGAACCCACAGTCTTAGAATGAGGGTAAGGACAGAGAGATAGGGAACTAGGAGGTGAACAGCCAATTAGAATACAGTGTGAACTTGCTAAAGTAGGGTGAGCACTTAGAGTAGGAAAGCCTCCCCTGAGCAGATGACATGGCAGCTGCACCATGAATGACCAGGAGGAGCTAGCTGGCCATGGCAATACAGAAAGAGAAAAATAACTATTATTACCAGCAAGAAAATTCTGCTATGGGAACTGCAATTGTTTGGATTCTTTTTGGGTGTGGGTGGGGCGAGGTAAGGTGGAGTGGCAAACCTGATCTGGAAGGAACCTATTTGTCTGCCAAGGAGTTTGAAGTTTACCTTAAGGTCAATGAGGGACTTTTCAAAGTGTTTAGACCCTTGGGGGATGGGTGAGGTGACTTGATCAGATTCACTATTGAAAAAATCACTCCACAGGGAGACATTTGGGATGCCTCAGGGGCAAGACCAGAGGCTGGCAAAAGATGGTGGTGGCTTGAACTGATCAGGTTCAGTTTAATATTTTTACAAAGAGAATAGAGAGTGGTGGATGAATTCAAGAGATTTTGGTAAAACTCACGTGATTTCCTGATTATAAGCTGTAAAAGTTGGTACTTTTGTACCTTGCCTGGAATCAACTTCTTCCAAACTCCTGTGAATGTTCTTAATGGCAACTAGAACGGTGAATCCTTTACAGAAGGTTTTCAATTGGCTTTGCCCAGATCATCAGAGGAATCACTATCTATGGCAGCTACAGCCTTACGAAATGTATTTCTCAAATGATGAGACTTCAAAGCCAAAATTACCCCTTGATCCACGGGCTGCAGAATGGATGTTATGTTAGCAGGCATGAAAACAACATCAATTTTCTTGTACATTTTCATCAGAGTTCTTGGGTGACCAGGTACATTGCCAATGAGCAGTAATATTTCAAAAGAAATCTTTTTTTCTGAGCAGTATGTCTCAACAGTGGGCTTAAAATACTCAGTAAACCATGTTGTAAACAGATGTGCTGTCATCCAGGCTTTGTTGTTCCATTTATAGAGCACAGGCTGAGTAGATTTAGCATAATTCCTAAGGGTCCTAGGATTTTCAGAATGGCAAATGAACATTGGCTTAACTTCATATCACCAGCTCCATTAGCCCCTAACAAGTGTCATTCTGTCCTTTGAAGCTTTGAAGCCAGACATTGACTTCTCCTCTCTAGCTATGATATTCCAAGATGACATCTACTTCCAACAGAAGCCTGTTTCATCTACCCTGAAAGTCTGTTGTTTAGTATAGCCACATTCATTTGTTATCTTAGCTAGATCCTCTGGATAACTTTTCTTCTGCTTCCTCACCTCTCTCAGCCTTCACAGAATTGAAGAGAGTTAGAGCTTTGTTCTGGATTAAGTTTTGACTTATGTGATATTGTGGCTGGTTTGGTCTTCTGTCAACTATCCAGAGCACTGAAACTTTCTCCATACCAGCCAAAAGGCTGTTTCACTTTCTTATTATTGTGTGCTTACTGAGTAGCACTTCTAATTTCCTTCAAGAACCTGCGCCGCAACCCCCCTCCACCCCATAACTCGGCCAACTGCTTGAGGCAAGAGGCTTAGCTTTTGACTTGTCTTGGTTTTCGGCATACTTTCCTCACAAAGCTTCATCATTTCTAGCTTTTGATTTAAAGTGAGGAATGTGTGACTCTTCCTTTCACTTGAATACTTAGAGGACTTTGCTATTTTTTTTAATTAAAATTTTTTTTTTTTATTTTTTAATTTTTGGCTGTGCCTTGCAGCTTGTGGGATCTTAGTTCCCCAATGAGGAATTGGACCTGTGCCCTTGGCAGTGAAAGCGTGGCATCCTAACCACTGGACCATCAGGGAATTCCCTGGAGGCCTTTGTTGAGTTATTAGTTGGCCTCATCTCAATATTGTTGTGTCTCAGGGAATAGAGAGGTCCCAGAAGAGGGAGAGAGGTGGGAGAATGGCTGGGCAGTGGAGCCGTCAGAGCCCACACATTTATTGATTAATTTTGCTGTCTTATATGGGCGTAGCTCATGGCACCCCAAAATAATTACAATAGTAACACTGAAGAGCACAGATCACCATAACACATATAATAATCATGAAAAAGATGGAATTACTGACAGAATTACCAAAACGAGACACGAAGTGAGCAAATGCTATTGGAAAAATGGCGCTGAGGCCTGCTCCAGGCACGGTTGCCACAAACCTTCAATTTGTAAAAACCTTAAAATCTGGGAAGGGCAATAAAGTGAAACGCAATAAAACAGGTATGTCTGTATAACAAAGGAAAACGAGCTTTATGAATGACACCTCCCAGAGGTATTGTGTATCGGATTGAATGGAGGAACATGAATAGCTAAAGGAAGTATTTCATTCATAAGCAGGTGGGGCAGTGTTTCTGAGGAGCAGTAGAGTTTGGAGATGGGCCAGAAGAGGATCCTTCCTGCCAACCTCAGAGGACACCACAGTCTGGAGCAGAATAATTCCATTTGAGTAGTGGCAGGATACCCCTAATCCTCTCAGAGAACAGGAGGTTGGCAGGGGCCACTTCAGGGGGGCTGGTCAGGGTACATGGGTCCTGACTTGGTACTTGGAATCTGTTTTAATTGTCACAGAAAACCACTGAAGGGCTTTCAGCAGGGAAGGGACGTGATAAGATTTATGCTTTAAATAAACGACTGAGAGCTCTGTGGAGAGTAGAGTGTGAAGGGCAATGGTGAGATCACGGAGAGGGAGGCAGAGGTTCTCGCAAGAGCTAATGACAGCTTAGACTAGGCTGGCCACAGTGGAGATGGTGAAGAGGAATCAGATTCAGGGGATCTTTTGGAAGCTGAGTCAATGGAACTTGCTAATGGATTGGATGTGGCAAGTGAGGGAAAGCTAGTCATCAAGGACGGCTCCCAGATTTTGGCCTGAGCTGCAGGAGGTACAAAATGCTGTGCCTGGCGGAGGAGCAAGGAATAATAAAGTAAGTATTCTATTTGGTCCGATT